GAGCTGTATCTATTGATCTACTCACATTTGGGATTGTGGCGCAGCTGGCTGAGTGTCAGCTGCATTAAGATCACTCTGACCAGAAGGTCATGAGTTTGAAGCCAGCCCGGGTCGGTGTGAGTGTCCAACCAATTCTGTAGCTTGTTGTCGACCTTTGCAACCCCAAAGACAGTTGCATCTGTCAAGTAGGAAAATTAGGTACCACCTATGTGTGGGGAGGCTAATTTAACTAATTTATGAGGCCATAAAAAGACTCCAGCAAAAAGCACTCCAGCAAAAAGCATGCGGGGAATGCGGAAGTACTTCATCAGTGTTGCAGATGGATGATGAAAGCGACAGCTCCCATGGCGGCCAGAAAAAGTTAAATAGCCTCTGTGCATGTCTATATACGTTGTATGTCTAATTGGCATTGAATGTTTGCCATATATGTGTACATTGTAATCCGCCCAGAGTCCCCTGTGGGGTGAGAAGGGCGGAATATAAATGCTGTAAATAAATAAATAAATAAATTTGCATGTTTTCGAAATCCTAGGTTGGCAGAAGCTGGGGCTAACAGTGGGAGCTCACACCACACCACGGATTCGAACCTGCGACCTTTTGGTCAGCAAGTACAGCACCTCAGCGCTTTAACCCATTGCACCATGGGGGGCTCACCCAATATACCCAAATTTGAATACTGCTTGGTTTTGAAGGGAATTGGTCTGGAAATTTTAGAGTTGTACGTACTGGGATTTATAGTTCACCTGCAATCACCTGAACTCCACCAAAGATGGAATTGAACCAAACTTGGCACACAGAACCTCCATGCCCAGCAAAAAAATACTGGAAGTCTTTGGGGTAAATTCACCTTGACTTTAGGAGTTATAGTTCATGTACATTCAAAGAGCACTGTGACCCCAAACACTAATGGATCTGGACCAAACTTGGCACACATACCTGATATGCCGAAATTTGTTTACTGGAGTCCGAGCCTTCTACAAAACTAGTATTGTTATAGGATGCGCTTTCACTGGAGGTCTTTGAGCAATGGTTGACCAGCAACTGGTTTCCCCCTCTAGTTTCTAATCTACTGCACCAAACTGGAATTTGGGAAACATAGCTCCCAAGGTCCCTTTAAAGTTCTATCCTTCCATGCTTTTTCCCTGCGACAAAGGACCAGGGCATCCATTTCTCACTCAAGTGAACTCTGCTCCAAAAGGGACAGACAATATTGATCGATGGTGCCGGAGGCTCGGACGGCACCATGCTGCTTGCTTTTATGGGAGTCTGCAAACAGAATGGATTGACTGGTGGGGAAAGGGCTTGTTCGGCCATTCAAGGCAAACAAAAGGGAATTCAAACCAGAAAGAAGAGAATCTCCGTCTGACATTCGAGCTGGAAACGAAACTTTGAAAACTACAACTCCCAGGACGCCCCCAATCAGTTACCAGGACCTTGGAAATCTCCGAAATGTTATTACAAGATCGAGCCTTCTTTATCCAGAATTCCAAAATAATAAGTAAACAAATGTATTTGTTTACTTTACCTTGAATGTCAAACAAGGGAGGAAGCAGGATAATATTAACAATAATAAAAGCAATAATAGATACGGCTGTATTGCCAAAGGCTTTCATGGTCGGAATCACTGGGTTGTTGTGTGTTTTCCAGGCTGTATGGTCATGTTCCAGAAGCATTCTCTCCTGATGTTTCGCCTGCATCTATAGCAGGCATCCAAAGTTCTTTTGGCTATAGGAAATTGTGGGATAGTATCCGTGTCTCTGCAGCGTAGAACGAAAATTAGGAAGCACAGAAGATGTGCTTTCCTGGTTCTTAGTTTTTCCAATTTCCATTTGTCATAGAATCATAGATTCAAAGAGTTGGAAGAGACCTCATGGGCCATCCAGTCCAACCCCCTGCCAAGAAGAAGGAATATTGCATTCAAATCACCCCTGACAGATGGCCATCCAGCCTCTGCTTAAAAGCTTCCAAAGAAGGAGCCTCCACCACACTCCGGGGCAGAGAGTTCCACTGCTGAACGGCTCTCACAGTCAGGAAGTTCTTCCTCATGTTCAGATGGAATCTCCTCTCTTGTAGTTTGAAGCCATTGTTCCACGTCCTAGTCTCCAGGGAAGCAGAAAACAAGCTTGCTCCCTCCTCCCTGTGGCTTCCTATCACATATTTATACATAGCTATCATATCTCCTCTCAGCCTTCTCTTCTTCAGGCTAAACATGCCCAGCTCCTTAAGCCACTCCTCATAGGGCTTGTTCTCCAGACTCTTGATCATTTTAGTCGCCCTCCTCTGGACACTTTCCACCTTGTCATCCCTCTTGAAATGTGGTGCCCAGAATCACTGGGTTGTTGTGTGTTTTCTGGGCTGTATGGCCATGTTCTAGAAGCATTCTCTCCTGACGTTTTGCCTGCATCTATGGCAGGCATCCAAAGTTCTTTTGGTTGTGAGAGATTGTGGGATAATATCTGTATTTCTGCAGTATAGAAGGAAAGTCAGGGAGCACAGCAGATGTGCTTTACTGGTTCTTATTTTCTCCAATTTCCGTTTGTCTTGGAACAGTTTCTCCCCGTAGAGATGCTCAATGTATTTTTGAAGGCTTTCATGGCCAGAATCAATGGGCAGTTGTGTGTTTCCTGGGCTGTATGGCCATGTTCCAGAAGCATTCTCTCCTGACGTTTTGCCTGCTATAGATGCAGGATGCCTGTCATAGATGCAGGGAAAACGTCAGGAGAGAATGCTTCTGGAACATGGATATATAGCTCAGAAAACACGCAACAACCCATAGATATTATTATTTTCTACATGTGTAGGTGGCTGCTTCATAGAATTTTGGGTGACCTCATAAAATACCATATACAAGCATAAAGAGAGGAACCCAACACCACAGCACTAACCAAGGCAATGTCAACGAGAAGTTTTGGGTTAAGGCCAACCAGACCACTTCCCATAAAGAACCACTTCCCATTCTAACAGGCTTGAAGATTGAATGGCATAAAACTGAAACTTTGGAAAAGCGTGGAGTCTCCGATGGGATGGGGGACAATGGACAATCCCTTGTGGACATCTTCTGAAAGATGTACAGAAACGATTTGCCACAAAAAACGATAACAGTTCCAACCCAATCCCATGGTTGGATTCAACCATGATGCACGTTATGAGATGTTCAGGTGACAACAAAGGAGCTTCTTTTTTGTTACTTGAACATCTCATAACGTCCATCGTGGTTATGACAGTGGGATGAGCCTTCTTGGAAAGCAGTGGAGTCTACTTCAGAAGAGATTTTTAAACAGTCATTATCATGTGTTGTCGAAGGCTTTTGTGGATGGAATCACTGGGTTGCCGTGAGTTTTTTGGGCTGTATGACCATGTTCCAGAAGCATTCTCTACTGATGTTTCTCCTGCATTTGTGGCTAGCATCCTCAGAGGTTCTGTTGGCAGTGAGGCAAGTGGGGTGCATATATATCTGTTGAATAATGTCCAGGGTGGGAGAAAGAACCCATGTCTGTTTGAAGCAAGTCTGAATGTTTGTCCAGGGTGGGAGAAAGAACCCTTGCCTTTTTGAAGCAAGTCTGAATGTTGCAATTAGCAAGCTTGAATAGCACCGAGGAACCATGAAGCTGCAGTCAATCAGTGCGTGAATCTGCATGGATGTAGCAAACTTCATGGCTACTCAAAGGCTAATTCAAGCTTGCTAATTGCAACATTAACACTTGCTTTAAACCAGTGGTTCCCAACCTTTGGTCCTCCAGGTGTTTTGGACTTCATCTCCCACAATTCCTAACAGCTTGTAAGCTGGCTGGGATTTCTGGGAGTTGACATCCAAAACACCTGACGGACCAAAGGTTGGGAACTACTGCTTTAAACAGACAAGAGTTATTTCTCCCATCCTGGACATTCCACAGATACACACACGCACACACACACACACACACACACACACACACACACACACAACTTGCCTCACTGTCAACAGAACCTCTGAAGATGCCAGCCACAGATGCAGGCAAAACATCAGGAGTGAATGTTGCTGGAACATGGCCATACAGCCCCAAGAACTCACAGCAACCCAGTGATTCCAGTCATGAAAGCCTTTGACAATGCACAGGTCAATAAGAACACCTAAAACCTGTAGGTTTTATGATAACATAATAATAACACTATTTGTATTCCACCCTTCTCACCGAGGGGACTCAGGGAAGTTAAACAAAAACAGGCAAAATTCAATGCCTTGTTACAGTGAAATGCAATGAGACACAAATACACAAAGGCAAAGGCTTCTCCTTTAATTTAGGGCTCTGGAGGTGGTGCTCATCTCTGGCTCTGGGGGATGTGCTCATTTCCATTTGCAAGCTGAGGGGCCTGTGTTGTCCACAGACCCCTCCTGGTTGTGTGGCCGGCATGACTGCTTGGAGTGTCTTTTTGCCTTTTCCTGTCGAGGCAATACCTATTGATCTACTCACATTTGCACGTTTTTGAACTGCTAGGTTGGCTGGAGCTAGGGCTAACAGCGGGAACTCACCCCATTCCACAGATTTGAAGTGCCAACCTTCAGGTCAGCAGTTCGGCAGCACAATAGTTTAACCCACTCCCCTTCCCTGGTTTTGTCATCATTGTGGTCCTTCAAGTTCTGACTCATAGAGATCTCACGACAAACCTATAATGGGATTGTCTTGGCAAGATTTTGTCATTTCAGATCTGTTGTGTCCCTTCTCTGAAACTGAGAACAGGATTTGTCTGGGGTCACTCCAATGGGTCATTATCAAAACAGAGCAGGGATTGGACTATAGTGCAAAATACAGTTGGGACTATATTTCCTCATCCATAGCATCACTATATGTTGAAGTCAACTTGACAGCAGTTAATAACAACAATAACAGCAGCAGCAGCAACAACAACAAATTACTTCCTTTGTCTGGGAAAGTAGGGTTCTATCAATGCTGTCTAAAATATTATTAGACTTCTTTGCTGCAGCAGCACCACGCTATTGAGCCTTGGTGAACAGAACTTACCCCTGATTTGACGTCATACAAGGTGTGTGTGAGGATGATCTTGAAGACCGCATGGGATCGACTGCTTTCTTCGTTCATGTTGGTTGCAGCGACTGTCCGAGATTTATTACCTTCAGACATCAAAGACTCTATGTCCTAGGTAAAAGTCAAGAGTCACAAAGCATCAGCATTTAGAAATGCAGAACGGTTCTTGTATCTTATGTCAACAGAAGATAGATGGTAAACCAAAACTAAGGAAGAATACGTTCCTAGCAGTTTTGGAGTCAGGGAAGAGTTTATAAATAATTTGTGAGAGATGTCTGCTTCAGTTGAGGCAATGTTGGAATAACGCCAAGTTTCAAGCACCAAGGTCTGCCTAGATCATGTTTTGTCTATGGGATATGGTTCTGTATTATTCATGGATTCATGCCTAGTTTCATGGATTTCCTTGGACTCTTTGTTCCTGTCTTCCTTTGTATCAATTGGATTACTTTTATTATATAATAATAATAATAATAATAATACTTTAGTTATACACCACCCTATCTCCCCAAGGGGACTCAGAGTGGTTTCCACATATGCAAAAATACAAATGACATACAGTGTGAAACATAAAACATAAGCATAAACTATTAACGCAACATATATATATTAAAACCAATTAGAAACCAGTTCCACTCTCTTCTTTCATGCAAGGTAAGCTACCAGGGGCAAAATTCTGATAAAGGGCCTAAGCTGTTTGGTGGGCTGGACTGAAGCTAGTGCAGAGAAAAGGGAGGCATGGAGCCAATTAAAGGACTATTTAAAGGGACTGGGCCAGAAGAAAAAGTTATCTCAAATGGAAGGGGACTAGAATAATGGATGGAGTGTAAGGCCAAGTCCTAACTGTTGGCCAAAGGGTTGGAATTTGAGACTAGTCAATTTTCAAAGGCCTGATGAAACCACCAAGTCTTCAAGTTCTTATGAAAACAGGTAAGTGATGGAGCCCGCCTTATCTCCTTGGGGAGGGCATTCCAGAGGCAGGAAGCCACCACCGAGAAGGTCCTCTCTCTCGTCCCCATTTGAGATGGTGGTGGGAGTAAGAGAAGGGTCTTCCCAGTGGATCTCAGAGTTTGCGCCAGTTCACACAGGGAGATGCGATCACGGAGATAGGCACGGCCCAAACCATTTAGGACTTTATAGGTCATCACCTGCACCATGAATTTGGCTTGGAAATTTATCAGCAGCCAGTGGAGCTGTATTAATAGGGGCATTGTACGCTCCCTATAGCTGGCTCCAGTTAGGAACCTGGATGCCACCCATTGTACAAGTTGGAATTTCCAGCCTGTCTTCAAGGGCAGCCCCACACAGAGCACATTGCAGTAGTCCAATCTGGAAGTAACCAAGGCATAGACAATCCTGTCCAAGTCAGAATTCACGAGGTATGGTCGCATCTGGCTACATATATTTCACTGCTTTGACTTGCTGATTTTACCCAGCAGGTGTGGTGTTTAAAGTCAGTTGTGATTCCCTAATGTTTCAATGCTAACTCTTTTTCGAAGGCACTTAAGGCGATACCTTTAATGTTTTTGCAAAGGCAGTTAGTGTTATTGCTTGCCAAACCAGTTTTGCAAGATTGTCCCCATCTCAGGAGCGGTTCTATAGTTTATCATTTCCTGAATCAGTCTACAGCTCGAATATTGGAAAGTGGGGTGAGGGGCCCAGGCTATGGGGCACAGACAGGGTTTGCATGACCTATTAACCACAGACCAATGAAAATTTTCCCAAAGATTGCATGACTGCAGGGGCATTTAGGGAGCAAATGGGGGACTGCACTTAATATGTCTGGGAGGCAAATTCCAGAGCCCCATGAATACAAAGGGTCATATCTCTAAATGCTTGGCCTCTAATGATCAGTTGCATGGTTTAGAAGGAATAACCTTCTCCATAAAGTTTGGTTTCCAAATATCTTGGTTGCCCTTCTCCACCCAAGTTACAACTTGTCAATATCTTTCTTGAACTGCAGTGTCCAGAACTGGACACAGTATCATTCCAGGTGAGGTCTGATCAAGGGAGAAGGGAGAAGTATTAACACTCCTCTTGATTTGGAAACTATACCTATTTGGATGATGCCCAGATCTGCAATGGCTTTGATGATGATAACAACAACAACAACAATTATTATTGCACAGAGGGACTACAAACAAAGACACAACTGTGTGACCCAAATGATTCACTGGAACTTGTGTCACAAGTACCACCTGCCAGCAGCAAAGAATTGGTGGGATCATAAACACACAAAGGTTGTGGAAAATGAACATGCAAAAATACTGTGGGACTTTCGAATCCAGACTGACAAAGTTTTGGAACTTTGAAAGAAAAAAGTCTGGATTATTGATGTCGCCATACCACCTGACAGTTGCATTGAGGAAAAAACAACAGGAAAAACTCAGCCACTATCAAGACCTCAAAATCGAACTGCATTAAGATCACTACTGACTGAAAAGTCATGAGGTCAAAGCCAGCCCAGATCGGAGTGAGGTTCCGACCAATTTGTGTAGCTTGCTGTTGACCTTTGAAGCCCAAAAGACAGTTGCATCTGTCAAGTAGGAAATTTAGGTACCGCTTATGCGGGGAAGCTAATTTAACTAATTTATGACGCCATAAAAATCTCCAGCAAGCATGCGAAGAATTAGGAAGTACTTCATCAGTGTCACAAATGGAAGCAACAGCTCCGCTGGTGGCCAGAATACCCTAATGAAAAGCTGGCATGTTAAATAGCCTCTGAATGTATGTCCATATATGTTGTGTGTCTATGGCATTTAATGTTTGCCATGTATATGTGTACATTGTAATTCATTCTGAGTCCCCTGCGGGGTGAGAAGGGTGGAATATAAATAATACTGTAAATAAATAAATATGCACTGGATGATGGGTATTGTAATGCTGCTATTTCCTTGGATTTTGGCACTTGCTGCAGAATGTTGGAGGTCTGTCCATGCCTGTTCCAGACATTGAGAGTTTTGCTACACGACATGCAACCCCTTACATATATCCTTGTTGAAATGCATTTGGTTACTTTGGTCCCAGCTCTCTAATAATGCAAATAATTAGTTTATGGTGACCATCTTGCAATTAAACTTCTTTACCTTGTAGCTGGCCACAGCCAGTTTGGAAAGCCCATCCACGTAAGGCCCATAGACGCTGTGCTCTCTGACTTTTAAGGACTGTCGGCTCCTGTTTTTTGAGGAAGCAAACACAGAAGACGGCATGATTACATAATTAGGACAAGAAGCAACAAAGCTGAGTGCTTTTCCAAATCTACGCTTGCACCCGGCAGCACACGCTTAAATCTTTAATTCTGGGAAGCCAAAGAATTACTTTGGCTGGCATGTTTCAAGTCAGGGCAGATTTGTCAAACGATTTCTGCACCCGGTTTGCAGCGCGGGGATGTTAGCAGCAACAACAAAAACCCTACAAAGTCTTCTAATATGGAGAGGGAACACAAGGTGAAAGAAATTACAAAAAACCCCTCTAAAACCTTTTGCATGCTCACTGTGAATTGTATGTGGTTTGCTATTCACACTGTATGTTTTCAGATTCAGGAAAGGCAGCAATCACATTGAAAAACAAATTAACAACATATTGTTGAAGGCTTTAATGGCTGGAAACATTGGGTTGTTGCACGTTTTTCGGGCTATATGGCCATGTTCTAGAAGCATTCTCTCCTGACATTTTGCTTGCATCTATGGCAGGCATCCTCAGACCTCACAACTTCTGAGGATGCCTGCCATAGATGCAGGCGAAATGTCAGGAGAGAGAATGCCTCCAGAACATGGCCATACAGTCTGAAAAACCTGCAACAACCCAACAAATTAACAGATTTTTGCAGGTTGCATGGGCAAACTTGGACCCTCCTAGTGTTTTGGACTTCAACTCCCACAATTCCTAACAGCCTCAGGCCCCTTCCTTTCCCCCCTCAGCCTGTTAATGCCATTTTCCAAAAGATTATGGTTTTACAACTGTGGCTGGCATCTTCAGAAGTTCTGTTGGCAGTGAAGTGGAGTGTTGATTGACTTTGCAAACTTCACTGTTTGACTTTGCAAACTTCATGGCTACTCAAATGCCAATTCGAGCTTGCTAATTGCAACATTCACAGTTGCTTTAAACAGACAAGGGTTCTTTCTCCCACCCTGGATATTATTCCAGATATCTATCTATCTATCTATCTATCTATCTATCTATCTATCTATCTATCTATCTATCTATCTATATCTATAAATATAATGTTCATTTGTGGGATTAACATAACTCAAAAACCACTGGACGAATTGCCGCCAAATTTGGCCACAAGACACCTACTAACCCAAGGAGTTACCCTCACTAGCAAAAAATAATTTAGTCATTTGGGAGTTGTAGTTGCTGGGGTTTATAATCAACCTACAATCAAAGAGCATTCTGAACTCCACTAATGGTGGAATTGAACCAATCGTGGCACACAGAACTCCGATGACAAACAGAGAATACTGGGTTTGGTGGACATTGACCTTGAGTTTTGGAGTTGTAGTTCACCTACATCCAGAGAGCACCGTGGACTCAAACAATGACGGATCCGGACCAAACTTGGCACAAATACTCCATATGCCCATATATGAACACAGATGGAGTTTGGGGGAATAGACACCTACAATAAAAGAGCATTCTGAACCCCACAAATGAGAGAATTGGGGCAAGCTTCCTACACAGAACCCCCATGACCAACAAAAAATACTTAAGGCCATCGAGTCCAACTCCCTTCACCAGGGCAAGAAAATGTAATCAAAGCTCTCCTGACAAAGAGCCATCCAGCCATAGATATAGATAGATATATATGATTCACAAACACAGATATAGTATCATAGATTAGAAAGAGACCCCTAAAGAAGGACAATTATATGTTGCATGTTCCAGAGTAGGCAAACCAGACAATCTCCCCATCAACACTGACAAATAAACAACAAGAAACACTTTAAACCCATAAGCATCAAGACATTACATATATTAGAAACCAATACTTTTTCATTACTTAATTTTCCAGCTCACAAGACTGGGCCACAGCAACACGTGGCAGGGGATAGCTAATATACACACATACACAAACACTCCAATTGCCTCACTGCCAACAGAACCTCTGAAGGTGCCAATAGCCACAGATGCAGGTGAAACATTAGGAGAGAATGCTGCTAGAATATGATCATACAGCCTGAAAAACTCACAGTAAGACAGAAAACATTTCTCTTCGCAAGCAAACAGACAAAAGTTTCCATCCTACTACTGAACTGCTTTATCTGTTACAGATAAAACCTGCAGATTTTGATTTGGAGTAAGACATGTTCCTCTAGTCTCCTTGGGGAATGAATTAGCCATCTTGCCATCCTTTTCATGATCGTCTTCCTTACCCCTTTGGGTCCAGAAGGTCTCTGACCTTCTCGTTGTAAATCTCCATGTAGGACACCTCCACTTTGAAGCTCTGCTCCTCGCTCTCCTCCTTCTGAGCTCTTTCGAAGAGGGTGCTGCAAAGTCGGGGGATTAGCCCTGGTTGGTCGGCGGTGCCCATCATGGTGTAGGATTTTCCGGACCCTGAGTAAAGAGGAAGGTATAATAAGCCAGAATGTTGGACTGGGACACTGGACAAATGCCCATTTGGCTATGGAAACCTCTTGATGACCTCAAACAAGTCATTGTCTCTCAGAGGAAGGCAATGGCAAACCCAACTCTGAACAAATCCTTCCAAGAAAACTTTATGATAAGTCACAATAAATTAGAATTGACATGAAGGCACAGAGTAACTGTCACAAATCAGAGAAACCTAAAGGACACTTGGCCATCCCAGTCACATGGGATAAAACCATCAGTATATTGATTAATGGTTGTTTGTTTTTTTGAAGCATGTCTTTATCACCTCACAGCCCACAAACATTCCTGAGGCAATGAACAATTAAAAATCAATTAAAACAATGTATTTGTGTATGTGTCTTCAAGTTGCCAGTCTCAACTTACAGCAATCCCATTAATTTTATAGGGTTTTCATAAGCAAGGAATATTTAGATGTGGTTTTTGTTGTAGCCTGGTCAGATTCTGAGTGCTGAGAAGATGAGGAAGGGGAAGATTTGGAGAGCCCAGAGGAGACTAGAAGTGGCCCAGAGAGGGTTGCTTTGGAATATCCTGGCAGTTCCCACAAGACTGGAGAAAGCAATATCCATTCTCATGAGAATCTGCCAGACGTTCAGGCTGATAGAAATGTGGGACACAAATGTTTGTCCAGATCCAGGTTCTTGGAACTGTGGAGTCAGAGCATGCAACAAAGACAGACTTGCTTTTCCAAGAGGCTTAGAGATAAGGAGTGGAAGAGCAGGTGTGTGAGAAACGATGTTATGGGAGGGTTTGAGGCTTTTTAAAGTGTTTCCTGCTGGTACAATCCTTTGTGAGAGCAACGTTGCATTCAGGTGAACAGCTCTCAGTTTTTGGGTTTGTTCTTGGAATTAATGTATTCAAGTTTTTAGGTTTGTTTTTGCTTCTAGTTCATGTGTGGCATAGCCTGCCTGCCTTGGATTCATGCTATATTGTTTACGAATATGTTTATGGATTATATTTGAAAGAATTTTGGACTGTTTTGGAAATAACCTTTTGAACTTTGGTTCTGAATTTGCTTATTTTAATATATACTCTTCTTTGAATAAACTTTTATGAACTTGATTATGTAGACAGAAGGTGTTTCAGGACTCTAGTGCAACAATTTTGCCAATTCCTTCTTCTGAAATACAGTCTACAACACCCGATAACACTTTGTAACAAAATTAGATTTTTTCTCTCTTCCTGATTTGAAAGTGTTATTTCCTGTTTAATTGTGCAGTCCTTACTTTGAAAGTTGTTGTTCTCCTCCAGAAACCTTGTTATTGTGGCTGCCACAAACTAGGTTGAATTGGTTGAGGCTCGATGAGATAGTCATTGAAAAACTAGAGCAAAATGTGCCGCAGGATGATTTCACTTCCGCAGAAACAAAGTTTTTTTTCTGTTTAATAAACTTTCCCCATGTTTTTATGATAGAACCAATTAGGAAATGACATGTATAACCCGGGAACAAGGATTTTGTTACATAGATTTATCTGGTTGTCTCCCATGCAAATGCAAATCAGGGCTGACCCTGCTTAGCCTTCAAGATCAGACCGGATCAGGTGCTATTAGCATTAGAATTTTAAACAATATCAATCTAAAAACATCCTGAAATGCTCTCCAAGAACTATCCTTGTTGGAGAGAAAAGCGGAATATAAAAAAAACACAAATAAACATTATAATAAAAGCAGTCTAAAAACAACATTAGAGTCCAGTTTTCAAACAGTTATGTATTTTGAACACTGAGCCTCACAAGGAACATTCAATGTTTTGGCAGTTTTGATTCAATTGCATACCCTGCAAAATAACAGATGCAGAGCACTATGAATCCCAGTGTGATGCTTGCCAATAATAATGCAGCAGGCAATGTGAATTGTCGTGTGTGTATTCAGTTTATGGCCTTCATATGGTGCAGCGAAATGGCTGGAAATGTGCACATACCATTAAGGGAAAACCTACATGCCTATGATTCTCCAAATACAGAAAGAGAAGCGCAAGTCACATTCAAAGTATGCAACAATGCTTATTTTCTCCATACAGACCAGGCATGTGCAAACTTGGGCCCTCCAGGTGTTTTGGACTTCAACTTCCACAATTCCTAACAGCCGGTAGGCTGTTAGGAATTGTGGGAGTTGAAGTCCAAAACACCTGGAGGGCCCAAGTTTGCCTATGCCTGATAGAGATAGAAAGATTGGCTTTTTTAGGGACTATATGTCCCAGAATCCTCCTCACTCAACATGTTGCTTGGGAATTCTGGGAACTGTAGTCATATCTCTGCTCAACAAGGTCCTCATGAAGCATGCTAAAGCAGACCTGGCTTGATCTGAGCCAGTAATGCCCTCATGCTCTTAAGGAAAGAGGCACATTCAGGACAGATTAGTTATGCTTTAATGCGCCTGACTGTGTGCCTCAGCTTTTTGCATGTTAAACGCACATGGTTGGACTGTGCAGGGATGCTCAATACTCAAGGAAAAACCAGACTGAAGGCAGCTCTCTTTACAGTAAAACCCATGGCAATTACACTACTTAATTTTTGTTCCTGGATTATAAATGCCATTTCCTACTTGGTTCTATCATAGAAACATGGGAAAGGTTTATCAAGATGCAAAAACTTTGTTTTTGCAGGAGGGACATCATCCTGCAGCACATTTTGCAATGGTTTTCAATGAATGTCTGATATGGGTTTCAACCAATTCAATAGAGTGTGTGGTAGCCACAAAAATGAAGTTTCTAGAGTGCAACAACGTGGTAGCAGTTGAAACCACTAGCTGCAGAAAAAAGCAGCTGACCAGAGGGTTAGCAGCTCAAAGCCACAAGTCAGGGTGAGCTCCCGACTGTCAGCCCTAGCTTCTGCCTACCAATAATATAACAATAATAACAACAACAACTTTATTTTTGTACCCCGCCTCCAGCTCCCCAAAGGCACTCGTAATGACTTACATATGGGGTCCTGCAAGGCTCTATTTTGTCTCCCATGCTTTTTAACATCTACATGAAACCGCTGGGAGAGGTCATCCGGAGTTTTGGAGTTGGGTGCCATCTCTACACAGATGACACACAACTCTACTACTCATTTCCACCTAATTCCAAGGAGGCCCCTTGAGTGCTGGACGAGTGTCTGGCCGCTGTGGCTATCTGGATGAGGGAGAACAAGCTGTCAATCCCGACAAGTCAGAGGTCCTCCTGGTCAATCGTAAACTGGATCGGGGTATAGGGTGGCAACCTGTGCTGGACGGGGTTACACTCCCCCTGAAGCCACAGGTCCGCAGTTTGGGAGTCCTCTTGGATTCATCACTTTCGCTTGAGGCTCAGGTGTTGGCGGTGTCCGGGAGGGCTTTTGCACAACTGAGACTCGTGCGCCAACTGCGACTGTACCTCGCAAAGGCTGATCTGGCCGGAGTGGTCCATGCCTTGGTCACCTCTAGATTGGATTACTGTAATGCGCTCTATGTGGGGCTGCCCTTGAAAACGGCTCGGAAATTTCAACTGGTCCAACGGGCGGCGGCCAGAATGTTAACTGGTGCTCCTTACAGAGAGAGGTCAACCCTCCTGTTTAAGGAGCTCCATTGGCTGCCGTTTTCCTTCCGATCCCAATTCAAGGTGCAAGTGCTTAGCTACAAAGCCCTAAACGGTTTGGGACCTGCCTACCTGCGTGACCGCATCTCTGTCTACGAACCCACGCGTTCCCTTCATTCATCCGGAGAGGCCCTGCTCGTGATCCCGCCTGCGTTGCAGGCGCATTTGGTGGGGACGAGGGACAGGGCCTTTTCTGTGGTTGCCCCCCAACTTTGGAACACCCTCTCCAAAGACATCAGGCTAGCACCCACGTTGGCAGTCTTTAGGAAGAGCTTGAAGACCTGGTTATTCCGATGTGCCTTTCCAGAATAGGAAAACTCCAGCATTATGTCTCAGAAGCACTTCATTAGAGTTTTAAGATTCTCTGCACATTGCACTTGCCCTGAAATCCAACATACCACCTGTCACACCCAGCACTTTTTAATCTGTACCCATCACTTGGCCTGGCCCTAGTATTTACTGTGTACTGGTGTAATGTTTTGTCGTTATTGCTTTATGTTTTTGATTTTGCTTTGAGTTGTATTTGTTATGTTGTTGTTGTGTTGAGGCCTTGGCCTTTGTAAGCCGCATCGAGTCCTTCAGGAGATGCTAGCGGGGTACAAATAAAGTTTAATAATAATAATTAATAATAATGTGCCTAAAACAATGCATAATAAACACACAATACAATCTATATAAATAAAAATGTAATTTTTGTTTGTGGGATTAATATAACTCAAAACCCACTGGGTGAATTGACACCAAATTTGGAAACAATACACCTATCAGGTCAATGAGAGACCATCACTCTTACGCTGCGAAAAACACAGCGGAAGAGACTTAAAAAGCAAAAAACAAAACAAAAACAAAAATACGTTACACTTGAGCAATGAGTCTTCCAAAATAAGCATTTTTTTTACCTGCTTGTGGAAAAACACCAATGAAACGTGGTTTAAATTAATGTTTTCTCCCCGGAGTGTTTGTTTACCGGTTTTTTAATGTTTTGTATTGTATCTTTTTTTAGCTATGCTTTGTTTTAACTTTTATGTTGCAAGCCACTAGGAGACATAATCCAGAGACTAAATAAACAAACAAAGCAATGGTACTCGCATGCAACTCACAACTTTTTTCCCTCTACAAGCCAGCGCTTACCGGTCTGTCCGTAGGCAAAGATACAGGCATTGTAGCCTTCAAAAGCATTCTGGAGAATGTTTTCTCCAAGGCACTTGAAAACAATATCTTGGCCTAAAATTAGAACCAAAAAAAATCAGATTATTGGGGGAAAGTGTTAAAAGAAACCCACTCATCCATCTCCTTTGATTAAGACCATCAAGGGTTTCCAAAGGCTCATAATGCACACCACGTGAAGAGTCTTTGATGCCTTTCATGTGTGTCCAAAGACAATAAAACCTTTGTGGATAACAGCCACAAACAGAGAAAAATATTCATTTGCACCACATGGAAGTCTTCAGAAACTCCCTTCCAAGTTACTCAATACTCAAACCATGCCAAAGTAACAACACGACAAGTGCGTACACTTGGGACCACGGACTAAGGGTGCATCTACACCAGGCATGGGCAAACTTGGGCCCTCCGGGTATTTTGGACTTCAACTCCCATAATTCCTAACAGCCTACCGGCTGTTAGGAATTATGGGAGTTGAAGTCCAAAACACCCAGAGGGCCCAAGTTTGCTCATGCCTGATCTACACTGTAGAATGAATGCGGTTTGATACCACGTTAATTGCTATGGCATCATGGGAATTGTAGTTTGGTGAAACACCAGTTCTCTTTGGCAGAGAAAGCTAAAGAACTTATTAAGCCATTGCAATTAAAATGGTATCAAACTGCATTAATTTTACAGTGTAGATGCTCCCAGTGCAGATGGGCCAGGTTTTAGCACAGCAGCTTCAATACATATTGTCAGTCGAAAAGTTGACAGGTGGAAGCCCAGGTCAGGGTGAGCTCCTAGCCTTTAGCCCAGCTTCCACCTACCTAGCGGTTCGAAAGCAAAATGTGAGTAGATAAATAGGTACCGCTTAAATGCCAGAAAAATGCCGGCGATTCGATATAAGAAGGAAGTTTACAAACAAAACTCCAAAGAAGTCTAGAGTGAGTAATGTATAGTAGAGATCATGCACTGAGCAGGAAGTTGGATGTCATGTATCATGTTCTGCAGTTGGTGGTGGTTGGTGGTGGCAGGCCTAGCAGTTGGTGATGGAAGGGTTAATGTAAGTCTAAGTTTCAAAGGGATGAGTAATCTGTAAGTAAGAGTTCATGGGTGAAAGCAATTAAGGATGGAGGTATACAAGAGATAGAGATTGAGCTGGGTGTTTCTGGATATAATGGGCTAGCCTTGGGACTGATCTTGGGGAGAAAAGTATTGGGTCTTATTTTGGTGGTAGATGCTGCTGGTTTCGCCCCAGGTTTGTGGGTTTTCGGTGTCCTGATCTGTCTCCTAAACCTTTGGAATCCTGGAACCTTGAACCTTTGGACTGAATATGGTATAGACCAGGGGTCCTCAAACTTTTTAAACAGAGAGCCAGGTCACAGACCCTCAAACTGTTGGAGGGCCGGATTATAATTTGAAAAAAAATGAATGAATTCCTATGCACACGGCACATATCTTATTTGTAGTGCAAAAAACACTTAAAATAATACAATAATTAAAATCAAGAACAATTTTAACAAATATAAACTTATTAGTATTTCAGTGGGAAGTATGGGCCTGATTTTGGCTGATGAGATAGGACTGTTGTTGCTGTTGTTGTGTGTTTTCAAACCATTTCAGACTTAGGTTGACTCTGAGCTAGGGCCGAGTAAATGACCTTGGAGGGCCATATTCGGCCCTCGGGACTTAGTTTGAGGACCCCTGATATAGACTCTTGATCCCTGAACTTTGTTTATTGAACTTTCAGTGTTTGACCACTGGACCAGGCCTTTTGACTACAGAGTTATCTTGAACCTGCAACAGTGTTTGCTGTTTTTGTTTTATATTCTGTGGCTGAGTGCTATCTTTATGTTTTATGTTTTGGACTATTAAAACAGCCAGAATGTAAGCTGTTTTAATTAAATTGTTTTATACAAACTAGGTTTTTGTTTGATTAATCTCTACCTCTGTAAAGGCAGAGCCCTGGCATTGTGACATTGGATTAGATGGCCTCAGGGGTCCCTTCCAACTCTTTGAATTGCAGAGTCAGAATGTCTGAGGGATCTAAGACAGCATAACCATGTTCCTAGAAATCCTACTGTTCTAATTGTTTCCTCTTCAACGAAGCACCCATTTCATATATTTCAATCTGTATTCAAAGTAATAGTTTCACCTGTAATACCATCATCATTACTTCTGCCAATGTCTGATTTTTGTTGTTGTTTGGAAATATTACTCCTTGACCTGAGCTAGCTGGGGATTCTGGGAGTTGTAGTTCAAAGAGCAGATCCTGCTCCCAAAGTTTTGAAATTGAGAATATATAAATTGAGAATTACCTGCGTATTTTTCTTTGACGGCTTCATCCATTGACCAGAAGCAGTGATCGTAGGCAAAGACCTGTAAAGGAAAGGTCAATAATGAGGAGGATGTTTTCAATAATTATCTGAGCATGCCTTTACTAAGATATGTTAAGCCATTTTGAGTCTCCTTTGAGAGATGTAAAGTGGGGTATAAATATAACAACAACAACAGCAACAACAACAACAACAACAACAACAACTATGGCACTGTAATAATGTCCCCTGGTGGCAGCGGGTTAAACCACTGAGCTGCTGAACTTGCTGACCGAAAGGCTGGCAGTTCGAATTTATGGAGAGGAGTGAGCTCCTGCTGTTGAGCCCAGCCTCTGCCAATATTGCAGTTCAAAAACATGCAAATATGAGTAGATCAATAGGTACAAACTTCAGACACAGTGAAGACATCTGCCCTTGTGCTATGCTACTCTGCTGCTGAGTATGCATGCCCGGTGTGGAACACATCTCACCATGCAAAAACAGTGGATGTGGCTCTTAATGAGACATGCCGCATTACCACGGGGTGTCTGCGCCCTACACCACTGGAGAAACTACAATGTCTAGCACCACCTGACATCCGCCGGGAAGTAGCAACCAATAGTGAAAAGACCAAGGCAGAGATATCTCCAGCTCATCCCTTGTCTGGGTATCAGCCAGCACGTCAACGACTTAAATCAAGACATAGTTTTCTAAGATCTACAGAGACACTCGCTGGAACACCCCAGCAAGCGAGAGTCCAAAAGTGGCAGGCTCAAACCCAGAACCTCAAGCAATGGCTGATACCAAATGAGAGACTCCCCCCTGGGCACACAGAAGACTGGGCAACTTGGAAGGCGCTGAACAGACTGCGCTCTGGCACCATGAGATGCAGAGCCAACCTCAAGAAATGGCGCCACAAAGTGGAATCCACGACATGCGAGCGTGGAGAAGAGCAAACTACAGACCATCTGCTGCGATACAACCTGAGCCCTGCTACATGCACCATGGAGGACCTCCAAGTGGCCAGATACTGGTCAAAGGATCAACTACCAAGCTTGCAAACTTTGTGTTTTGTCTGTCTGTCTGTTTGTTTGCTTTGTTAAAAATGGAATATAAATTTCTGGTTGCTCCTGCCACCACAAATAGAAACCACCCCCCAGAGTTGGACATGACTAGTCTTAATGTCAGGGGAAACCTTTACCTTTACCATGGCACTAGAACTCTCTGGCAGAGAGATCTGAATCCTGCACCAAACTGGAGTCAAACTGCATTAATTCTGCAGTCTAAATGCAGCTTGAGATGGAGTTTTCATGGGCAAAAAAGTAGACTTTACAGGCTGCATAGGCCACTTTATGTTAGGGACACTATGAGGTGAAAGTAATAGGGGAAAACAATTCTCCAAGGGTCTCCTGGGTCCCCAAAATTGCCTATTTCCCTTACAGAGAAAGGTGAAAGGAAGCAGTTAAAAAGACCTCTGTGTGTCCATATTAGAATCAAGCAAGAAACTGCAGTCCAAATGTTTGCAAATACAAGAAAGCATTTTTGTTTTGCTTCTTTGGGAACACGCACAACAGGACCTTTCTTCCTGAGTCCCCAATGCTCAGCGCATACAACTGTTTCCCTCATTTGTTCCTATGACTCATGTCTTGGCCACCAATGCAAACATGGCACTTTAATTTCCTCTCCTTCCACAAACAGTAGCACACGGAGAAAGAAAGCATCACACTTTTTTTTTTCATAAAATGCAAAACATTTTGGAACTATCAGAATGTTATTTTCACAACGGGCCATCAAAGCCTCTTACCTTTGGCTGGCTCCTAGTTTCAGGAGAAAGCGACGCAGGACATGAAATAAAAGAAGAAGAAACAGAAAGAAGTGGGTTAATACAGGGAAGATTTCATTTTTCATTGCAAATGAGTGAATTTTAAAAAATCATGAAACATCCAACTCAGCCAATGACAGATACACAATTTAGAATCAAAGAGTTAGAAGAGACCTCATGGGCCATCCAGTCCAACCCCCTGCCAAGAAGCAAGAATATTGCATTCAAATCACCCCTGACAGATGGCCATCCAGCCTCTGTTTAAAAGCTTCCAAACAAGGAGCCTCCACCACACTCTGGGGCAGAGAGTTCCACTGCTGAACGGCTCTTGGAACTCTCTGGGGCAGAAAGTTCCACTGTTGAATGGCTCTTGAATAAGAGCCATCTATTTATTTATTTTTTAAAGGCACAAGGCGCATTAATGTTAGTCTCTCTCTTGTTTTGGTCACTTAAACTTGATGAAGCATCTGTCTCAAGTTGTTTGTGTGTCACTGGGTCGGTCTTCCGGCAGTTAGATTTACTTTTTAATGCTCTTCTTCCCTTCTTACTATAAGATCAAGTGTGATGACACAATTGTTAAACATGAGCCAACAATGTGATGCGGCGGCAAAAAAAGCCAATGGGATTTTGGCCTGCATCAATAGGAGCATAGTGTCTAGATCCAGGGAAGTCGTGCTACCCCTCCATTCTGCCTTGGTTAGACCACATCTGGAATACTGTGTCCAATTCTGGGCACCACACTTGAAGGGAGAGATTGACAAGCTGGAATGTGTCCAGAGCAACTTAGTCTTAACACAACTGTTGTTCATCTTCTGAGAAACTTCAATGGGAATTTATTGGTAGGATACAGATAGTTTCATTGCTTCTGAGAGTGTAAAGCAGTGGTTCTCAACCTTCCTCATGCCACGACTCCGTGATACAGTTCCTCATGGTGTAATGACTCCAAACCATAACATTACTTTTGTTGCTACTTCATAATTGTCGTTTGGCTACAGATAATATGAATTGTAATGTGAATATCTGATACGCAGGATGTATTTTCATTCACTGGAACAAATTTGGCACAAATACCAGATACACTCAAACTTGAATGATGATGGGTTTTGGGGAAAATAGACCTTGACATTTGGGAATTGTAGTTGCTGGGATTTATAAGTAAAGGTAAAGATTTTCCCCTGACATTAAGTCCAGTCATGTCCGACTCTGAGGATTGGTGCTCATCTCCATTTCTAAGCCGAAGAGCCAGTGTTGTCCATAGACACCTCCAAGGTCATGTGGCTAGCATGACTGTAAGGAGCATCGTTACCTTCCCAATGGAGCAGTACCTATTGATCTACCCACATTTGCATGTTTTTGAACTGCTAGGTTGACAGAAGCTGGGGCTGACAGCGGAAGCTCACGCTGCTCCCCGGATTCGAACCTGCGATCTTTCAGTCAACAAGTTTTAGCAGCTCAACAGTTTAAACCCACTGCGCCACTGGGGGATTTATAGTTCACCTACAATCAAAAAGCAATCAAAGAGCAAAACTCAAACAATGATGGATCTGGACCAAATGACGGAATTGGGCCAAACTTCCTACACAGAACCCCCATGACCAACAGAAAATACTGTGTTTTCTGATGGTCTTTGGCGACCCCTCTGACACCCCCTCATGACCCCCACAGGGGTTCCGACTCCCAGGTTGAGAAACACTGGTGCAAAGAAAAGAGCAAACACTGGATACAGATACCTCAATGCAAAATGTTTGGGGAAGTTGCTTTTTGGGGGGACTATCTATGAGAGTATCACAGCCGGCCTGGCCATTGGAAATGCCAACTTGGAGATTCTTGGAATTACAGTCTGAAAAAGTAACTTTTCCAAGGCTTGGGTCCAACCGAGACCATCAAGCTGCAATGACTTTTAGCTCTCATCCAAACTCCATGCCGGAATTATACTAGGACAGAGCACTTAAAACGTTTAGGCCTTTATTGTGTTTATATTATCGAGCATTTGGGGATTAAAGGCAGCCATAAGAATATAATCCCTGTGGCCACTTCCCACATATGGAGGTTTCAACAAGGGGATTATATTGTGTAAAACAAGCAGCTCAGTGAAGGCCACGAGGCCAATTTCACATAAGCATAATGTTCTTTTCCACAAAGATGCACTCATGGCCTCATTTCACATTCATCACAAGCAGAGGGAGAAAGCAGTGGCCCTCAAAATGAAAGGAGGGCACTGGAAAGCTACAAACTTCATACAACTATAGCCATCACTAGAAATTCACTGGTGTTAACCACAGTCATGAGTTCATCATGCATGCGTGCAGAACCAATATTATCCAAAAACCAAAACATGTGTATTTGGAAACCACTAGTGATGGGATACTCTTGGAATTCCTACGATTGGACCAAGAAGTAGGAGAATTTTCAGCAATAGGACAACATATTCTGGCCAGAATCCTGTTGATCAGATTTGGGAAAATACCTGGGTGCATACCTACGGCCCATGTATACCTGGGAAAGAAGGAGCAGCCTCTGGATGGAGGTGTACATCCTTTATTTTTGTGTGTACAAGGCTAAACACAACACACCAGGACAGTCAATCCGTGCTGGAGTGAGATGTGTTTAGGACCCTTCCTGTAGAGTTGCCCAGTTGAATGCAATACAACACCGCCTGAGCTCTGTGAGTGCAGCATTTTTCTGAATGAAGCAGAGAGTGTTTGAGGACCGGGACATCCACAGGGATACCAAGGTGGTTGTTTATAAAGCTATTGTCCTCCCAACCCTGCTATACGCCTGCGAGATGTGGACTGTCTACAGACATCACCTGCAACTCCTGGAACGATTCCATCAGCGCTGCTTCCGGAAAATCCTGCAAATCTCTTGGGAAGACAGGCGGGGAAACGTCAGCGTGCTGGAAGAAGCAAAGGGCACCAGCATTGAAGCGATGGTCCTCTGCCATCAACTCCGTTGGACTGGCCACGTTGTCTGGATGCCCGACCACCATCTCCCAAATCAGTTGCTCTACTCTGAACTCAAGAATGGAAAACGGAAAGTTGGTGGGCAGGAAAAGAGATTTAAAGATGGGCTCAAAGCCAACCTTAAAAACTCTGGCATAGACACCGAGAACTGGGAAGCCCTGGCCTGTGAGTGCTCCAGCTGGAGGTCAGCTGTGACCAGCAGTGCTGCAGAATTTAAAAAGGGCACGAATGAAGGGCGAAAGAGAGAAATGTGCCAAGATGAAGGCATGTCAAGCCAACCCCAACCAGGACCGCCTTCCACCTGGAAACCAATGCCCTCACTGCAGGAGAAGATGCAGGTCAAGAATAGGGCTCCATAGTCACCTACGAACCCACCCTGGAGGATTATCCTACTCGGATAATGAGGGATCGCCTAAGTAAGTAAGTAAGTTGGGTTACCACGTTGAATACTAGGACCAAAACTTTTAATAATATAGACAAAATGAAGACATATTGTGATGTTCCACTACACATTTTCTGCCTCACTCCCTCCAAACCCATCTTTCAGATGAGATATCCTTCCCAACACAACCATTAACTACCCAGTTGAGCCAGGGACCAGTAGAGAATGTTCTTCAAAGCTTCTTAGACAAAGCCTAGATGGCCATCAGTCGAAAATATTGGAATGTGTATTCCTGCATGGCGGAATAGAGTTGGACTGGATCACCCTTGCGGTCCCTTTCCAACTCTAAGATTCTGTGGTTTGTCCAGTGGTAGTCCTATATTTGGACACACAGTACTGTAGGAACAGTTGGCCTGCTTATTGTATGAGCTCATTGAGCGCAGGTTCATTTATACACAAATTGCTTTGAACATCTCAACTAGAATCACTTAACTTCTGATGATACATCCAGTGGTCAACTTCCACCAGATAATCATAGAATCATACAGTTGGAAGAGACCTCATGGGCCATCCAGTCCAACCCCATTCTGCCAAGAAGCTGGAAAATCACATTCAAAGCACCCCTGACAGATGGCCATCCAGCCTCTGGTTAAAAGCCCCCAAAGAAGGAGCCTCCACCACACTCCGGGGCAGAGAGTTTCACTTCTGAACAGCTCTCACAGTCAGGAAGTTCTTCCTCACGTTCAGGTGGAATCTCCTTTCTTGTAGTTTGAAGCCATTGTTCCATTGCCTTCTAGTCTCCAGGGCAGAAGAAAACAAGTTCGCTCCCTCCTCCCTAGGACTTTCTCTCACATATTTATACATGGCTATCATGTCTCCTCTCATCCTTCTGTTCTTCAGGCTAAATATGCCCAGCTCCTTAAGCTGCTCCTCATAGAGCTTATTCTCCAGACCCTTGATAATTTTAGCTGCCCTCTTCTGGACACATTCCAGCTTGTCAACATCTCCCTTCAAATGTGATGCCCAGAATTGGACACAGTATTTCAGATAAAGCGGCGTAACCAAGGCAGAATAGAGGGGGAGCATGACTTCCCTGGATCTACACTCTAGACTTCTATTTATACAGGTATCAATCATATATAGAATGGTAGAATTATAGAGTTGGAAGAGACCTCATGGACCATCCAGTCCAACCCCCTGCCAAGAAGCAGGAAAATTGCATTCAAAGCACCCTCAACAGATGGCCATCCAGCCTCTGTTTAAAAGCCTCCAAAGAAGGAACCTACCACACTCTGGGGCAGAGAGTTCCACTGCTGAACAGCTCTCACCGTCAGGAAGTTCTTCCTAATGTTCAGATGGAATCTCCTTTCTTGTAGTTTGAAGCCATTGTTCCCTAGTCTCCAGGGCAGCAGAAAACAAGTTTGCTCCCTCCTCCCTATGACTTCCTCTCACATATTTATACATGGCTATCGCCCAGAGTGTGGTGGAGGCTCCTTCTTTGGAAGCTTTTAAACTAGGGCTGGATGGCCATCTGTCAGGGGTGATTTGAATGCAATATTCCTGCTTTTTGGCAGGCGGTTGGACTGGATGGCCCATGAGGTCTCTTCCAACTCTTTGATTCTATGATAAGGTCCACTTGATGGTCACAGC